AGCTCTATGCAGACAGGGACCATATCTGTCATGTTGAGCTGTTGTATATAACCAACGCTTAGCACAGTGCCTGGTGCATTCTAGGTGATCAGGAGCTATTTTTTGTTCAGTGAATGAATGAGGACAGAAGGCACACTCCTTTTTCCTGGAGTGTACAGCCACAGAACAGATTCTGCTAAGATTTGTCAAGCTCAGTGACCTCTATCCACATTTGCTGATTCATGTGGGAACAAATGATATAATCAAGAAACTGAACTGGCTTGTTACTGATTCTGAAGTCAGATGTGAAACTTGAATGGCTTGGGAGTTACATTGTGGCTTGGGAGTAGCGTTTTTGTTTCTTTCCTAGGGTGAAAGGGATGACCTTGGCAGAGAATAGAAGATATAGAAAATGAACAGTTGACCACATTCATAATGTTGAGCAAGATCTAATTTTCTAGACTGTGCCTCATGGCAGAACAATGAGTTTCTGGTTAAGGAGGAAATGTGTCTTTTGAAGACAGAAAAAAAAAATCTTTGTTTCAGAGACTCACAAACCTTAACAGTGTAACATTGTCAGATTTAACAAAATCAAACAAACAAGAAACCTAGGATGGCTAGTTAAATTTGAATTTCAGATAAACAATCATTACATTTTAAATATAAGTATGTGCCATGCAATATTTGGTGTCCTATATTTTATGTGGCAACCCTACAAGAGTGATTTCATCCAGTTCTCATTACTGTATCGTATTCACAAGAAGATTATAAGAACTTTATTAGATGCCTTGCTGACCTTTGGATATAATGTTCCTGTGGCAACATTTCCCCAAACACGTTCCACGAAACCATAGGGTCTCACAAGATGTGAATATACCTTGATAAATGGTCAAATATGTTTGCAGAATAAACTACCTTCTTTCTTAGAGAGTCACAGTGCATATTAGGATATTAAAGGTGTTGAGAAGGCCTACAGGAAAAACATACATGGCACACACACCCCATTCAGTAAATCTGCTTCCATTTTAAGGTTCCAGGCTCTCTAGCAGAATTCTCTCTCCATGAGGGTCCCATCCTTATGTCATGTGGCCAGCTTTGCTGAGAGTTCTGGCTCTGTCACTGGGCCAGGTTTTACACTTGCTGACTTTATCTTTCCTTATGGGTACAAAGAAAACCAAAGCCTGAGACCTGGGCCCTGAAGAAAAAATTTGAGTCTGGCTTAGGTTCTCGCTGCTATCCTCAGTTGTGTGAGCAAGCCAAGGCTGTTCTGGAGCCTTCTGAGGTTGTGTGGTCCTGCCTGTGTGTGTGCCCAGCTTAGATGAAACCCTGGAATGGGAATCATTCACTGCTTTAGACATATTTTGTTGTCATGGTTTTTAAAATAGAGTATAACAGACTTCGTGTGGAAAAAACTAGTTTATCACTGGAATTAATTTGTGCATAATTTTCTAGGTAAAGTCAAGAATGCATCTTCTTCAAAGGTAAACTTAATGACATTTGTTTTATAAATACCATCATTCCTCACTGTCAGTCCTCTGTAAATGCTCTAGCCTCTGACATTCAATAGAGCAATAAAGAAATCAAACATGCCTACCTAACCTTTATGAAAATATTTAAAATTATGATTTAATTTTTAATCTCCCATGGCAGCAGTAAAACAAATGATATAAATCTCAACAGGACCAACTGCCTGCCTTGCAATAACACTTTGGATATGGCCTAGACAGTCAAGATTTTCTCTTAATCATAAACCAATGTGGCATGGGCTAGGAAAAGGGGGTTGGTAGATGTTAACATTGTGCATTTCCTGGGGGCCTTATATATAATTGTCTTTCACAGTGGGTGAGAGAGGAGAGGCGGTTTTGACATGTCCTGTGTTAACAGTTTGGGTTTTCAAATAATGTCTTCTTCTTTCTTGCCACTGAACTTCTCTTTCTTGCCATTAAATAAACAAATAGCAAAAAACTCAAAACATGCAAAACAACCACCACAACAAGAAGAAGGCAAGAAAAAACATGGCTTTTCTGTTTAAAAGAAATGAAAGAATCACTGTCTAAAACGATGGGATTTAAGGTTTATAGAGTCCATTATGAAATCTCTTACACAAGTGACTAAGGCCTGGGAATGGGTAAATTGATGGATGCCAAATTAAAGAAGTTGTTTTATTGTGTTGAAATAATACTAATACAATATATTGTAGATGTAGTAACTAGTTTCTCCATGTTTCCCCAATTTAAAAAGCTAGAATCAAAAACCTCAGACCTTTAGGAAGCTACTTTATTAGGTTTACAACATCTTATGTATAATATCAATAGATATTACATAAATGAATGGTTATATGAAGTTCAGGTTGTGAATACTGTGAGGCAGGCCAGAGTCGGGCTCATATATAGGTGCTTGGTACATGTATGTTGCCCATGAATGTCTTATATGTAACTTCAGTTTCAAGACAGTCAAAGTGATCAGATCTATGAACAGTTGACTATCCTACTAAATCTCTCTGGAACCTCTGGCAATGCTGCTAATCTCTTAAGTTGACAGGGTTTCTCATCCTTGGCATTGTTGATATTCTGGGTCAGATAATTCTCTATTTTGGGCCCTATCCTTTGAATTGTAGAATGTTTAACAGCATTTCTGGTCACTACCCACTAGATGCTACTAGTGCACCCCTAGTTGTGACAACCAGAAATAACTGCAGATGCTATCAGATGTCCTCAGGGAGTTAAGGGGGTGGTTTGAAATTGCCCCCACTTGAAAACTACTGGGCTAGAAGATGGTAAAGGTTCAGGTTTCCATAAGTTGACTCTAGTTCCCTACAGATCACATGGTTCTGCTGTACTCACTTTGACAGACAGGATCCAAAGACTTTCATGATTGCAAGAGGAGGGGGCTCAAGATGAAAGGCCAGCCCAAAAGTCCACGAAATGGATAAATGGATAAACAAACTGTGATACATCCATTAGATGAAATAGTATTCATCCATATGAAGAATGAAGTACTGATACCTGTTACACTATGGATGAATCTTTTCTTTTATAATTTATTTTTTTATTGAAGGATAATTGCTTTACAACACTGTGGATGAATCTTGAAAACATGATGCTAAGTGAAAGAAGCCAGACACTAAGTCACATACTGTGTGATTCCATTTATATAAAATATCCAAAATAACAGATCCATAGAGACAGAAAGCAGCTTGGTGGTTGCCAGAGGCTGGGGGAGGGGAGATAGGGAAAACTGCCTAATGGGTACAGGGTTTCTTTCTGGACTCCGGGAAATGTTTTAGAACTACATAAAGAAGGTAGCTGACAACACTGTGAATATACTATATGTCACTGAATTGTTTACTTTGAAATGGCAAATTTTATATTATATGAATTTCAATTTGGTAAGTTAAAAGGAAAAAAAAAGGTCAAACAGACCCAACAGAGGCCCCACCAAGGGAGAAGGGAGCAGGCTGGGGTAAGTAGAACTGCCCAGGTTTAAAAACTGTTTCATAGAGAGTGAGAAAGTGGTTGCCAGGGGCTGTGAGGTGGGGAAATAGGCAGAGATTGGTAGAAGAGTACAAACCTTCAGTCATAAGATGAATAAGGTCTGAGGATCTAATGTAAAACATGGTGCCTATAGTTAACAACATTGTATTGTATAATTGAAATTTGCTAAAAGAGTAGAACTTTATATATATGTGTGTATATATATCACACATATATATGATGGATATTTAACTAAATGGGAGGAATCCTTTCACAATGTACATGTATATCAACCCATCAAGATGTACACTTTAAAAATCTTACAATTGTATTTGTCAATTACACTTCAATAAAGCTGAAAAAATAAAATACAATCTTGATAACTTTTCTCTTTCATGACACATTTCTTAAAGGGAACTATGAGAATGTGTGGGTGTGGAGGGACAGGAAGAAATATGCCTATGAAGAGAAAAACACTGGTTGGAGGGACTTTGAAATGAAATGTATTTTGAGTGATCTCTAATTCCATGCTGGGAGTCTAGGTGGCCCTTTCAGCTCTTTCTGGAGGAAAAAAAGCTTTGGAGCACATCCTTTCCATTAGTATTAGACCAAGTTATTTTATATAAATAAGAAAAGGAAAGGCAAATGGGGGCTTTATGCTTTGGGCATGCTATTATATTTTTCTCTTTCAGATGCCATCTGCCTTCCCAGCAGATTCAGGAGTTAGAGGGAGAGGTGAGATAGAATTTTACCTATACAGAATCACAAACGTATATTTGATCCACTGCTGCTTCTCAGACTTCCTCTTTCTTTGTTTTTCCCAGTAGTATTAAAAAGTATTGACTTCATATCAGATCTAGAAAAAGTTGGAGGGAGGGGTGCACTGACTGGAAAAAAAAAATCACCTGATGAAAATATAATTCCTTCTATGTAAGGAGATCCAAAGTTGAATACAGATAAACATCATTTATTGTTTGATTTAAACATTCCATTTCGCTGGTAAATTGTGTGAGCTTTGTTATTCTAGTGATGGACGTCTATTAGGAATAAAGACCCAGTGACTGGTTTTGCCTTTTTTAAATTCTGAGAAGGAGGTCTCAAAGATTTCTGGCACATTTCCTAGAGCAAAGCACTGGCTCCTTTTGAGAGGAAGGTGGGTTCTTTGGGCTGATCATCTGGGACACTCCACCTTGCTGCAGACCGCCTGCCCTGCTCTAGAGATTTTGCCTGGCTGTCAAATGTGGTCACCAGAGATGCACCCTCTTGCACTAGACCAGAGGTCAAGATATGAGGCCCTAGGCAAGGAACCTTGCATCAAAGCAAACAGTAGGCATTGGGAGGGCATAGTAGAAGCCTAAGTAAAGTTCTGACAGGGTTTCTTGTCCCTGAGAGAAGATAAGCCCCCTCTGTTTCCAGCACCTTTGTGGTGTCAGAGGCTTTAACAGTTGACAGAGAGGCAGGGCCTAGAAGGGAGAGGGCCAGACCTTCCAACTCTTCTCCAGTTCCAGAAAAATAAATAAGAATGATTGGTTTTTCAGGAAGGGAGCCATGTGCAAAAGAGGGCTCCTGGACCCCAGAAGAAGGCATGGGGAGGTGAGAGGAAGCAGATGTTTGAATAACAGCAAAGGGACCCAGGAGGCCGTTATGCTATGTCAACGATGTAATGCTCAATTGAAATGCGTCCTAACAAGAGATGTGCGAGCTGCCCCTTGCCCTGGGAGTAAAGACTGTTCCATGCAGGTGCTCGTTCCTAAGTCCCAGACAGCAAGTCACAAATAAGCTTGTGCGTCCTCCAACCTGTGCATGTCATTTTGGCCCAGTTTGGGTCTTAATACCTGAATGATGATTACTCTGGGGATAGAGATGAAAAAAGCTTCGCAATGTGATTCAGGAAGAGCCAGCAAACCGGGGCCAGAGAGTTTTCTAGCTCTTCCAGTCTTAGGCTTTCTTACCCTGCTTTCCTTGAACCGAAGCTCCCTTTTGATAAAAAGACTCAGAACTTTTCTTATCTATGGATTTCTCCTAGAAATCCCGAGACGGTACATAGATTATCCCTAAGGGCTGGACGACACTCTATTCTACCCCAACTAGTATGTGGCCAGAACTGGCAGATGCCATGAAAGAAAAAGAGAAATGACCAAGTACAAAACCTATCATTTCCATTCTCTTGTCCATATCTATAGACTCATACCACTCTCCCCCGACTTATTATGCTCTTATCTCCTTGGCTTTTTATCTGTTTCTAGAACACTCTAGGCCCTCTCTCAGTAGCAGAATTTGCTACTAGCTTTTTTCTCTGCTTAGAAGAGATCTTCCCTCAGATCCTTGGTGGCTGGCTCCTACTCATTCTTCAGTTTGCAGGGCCTCGCCAGTGCCTAGTACATACTTCGCACCAAGGAAACACTGGGAGCAGATTGTAGTGGGGCGATTCTGTTTCTTTTGGCCTGATGACAGGAAGGGGCTGCAGAGAGTGGGTGGAGGGGCCAGGATTGGGGGTGTGGATGAAGACAAAGGTGGGGATGTGAGGCAGTTTGTAGCTAGAAGGAAAAAATGGGAAGTACAGTGAGCAAGGGAAGGGCAGTGGGTGATCCTTGGGTTTAACCTGTTATCCAAGGGCGGAGTGCTAGTACTGGGAATTCACTGATAGGTGCCGCTGTAACCTGAACTGAGGAGGAAAACATGTGGTCAGATTCACTCACTGACATAATCTAAGTAAAGAATCTGCCTGCAATGCGGGAGACCTGGGTTCGATCCCTGGGTTGGGAAGATCCCCTGGAGAAGGGAAAGGCTACCACTCCAGTATTCTGGCATGGAGAATTCCATGGACTATACATTCCATGGGGTTGCAAAGAGTCGGACATGACTAAGCGAATTTCACTTCACTTTAAGAAAGCCTAACAGCAGCCCCTGGGATTACTAGGGAGAATTTCATTTAAATTTTTAATTAAGGGCCTGATTATTGAATTATCAGCTCTTCTTGGCTGATCTCCATCTTTGAGGGATCTTTTTCCAAACTCCTTCCCAGTCATGGCTGGAATAAGTGTCCTTCCTCTGCATACTCACAGTACTCTGTGCTTCTCTCCATCAAGACGTTGATGTCAGTGTATGGTGCTTGGCAGGCATGAGTGTCTTCCCCATCTGGCTATGAGCTTGGTGAGGGGAAGGCTCACATCACTAGCAGCTGCCTGGCAAGTGTTACGGATTTGTTGTTGGAGGAATGAATGAAACATTTTCTGACCTTCAATATAGTTGCCCCTATAGTGTATGTGTGTGTGTGTGTGTGTGTGTGCGCATGTGCATATGTGTACACACTCAACCATATTCACCCACTTGCTCAATTATTCATACAACAAACTTTTTTTCTTTTTAAAGCAATGACTCTATCAAGACTTCTACTAGGCACTGGGACTACAGAGGCAGATATGGAGGAGCAGATAAGCTAACAACTTATCACAGGGCAGTGTGGTGAGCACTAAGAGACGGAAAGTAAAAGGTACTCTGGGGGCACAGACAGGGGACTAAAAAGCATTCCAGGAGGATGAAATGGCATGTGCAAAGCCCTAGAGGAAAGATAGTGTGGAACAATTGAAAAAAAAAATTGTTTCGCTCGAGTAGACAGTAAGTCTATTGTTTCTAGATCTGCCACCAGCCAGAACTTGTGGCCTTGGAAACTATATCTTTTGGGTGTGTGAGACAAGTCCTCTGACCACTAGGCCCACAGACCACGTCCTCAAAGGTCTCACAGAGATGAAATGCACCTGCCTTTCACCCCATCCAAAACACCAAAACAGAACAACTTACCATAAACAAAGTAAAAAGACAAGTATTAGTTTCCGGAGTATATCGAGAACTATAAATCAAGAACAAAAAGGCGAGCAACCCAATGGAAAAATAGGCAAATGAAAGGAAATTCAGGAGTAGAAAACACAAATGGCCCATAAATATGAGAAAAAATGCTCAACCTCACTAATGATCAAGGAAATGAAATTTAAACACAATGAGATGTCATTGTGGTACCCATCAGACTGACAAAAATTGTCTGAGAGTACCTATTATGGCTGAAATGTGGAGCAAAGAGAATTCACATTCACTCCTGTTGAGTAAAAGCATAAATTGGTTGAGAGAAGAATTTGACAATATATAGTAAACTTGACAGGTGCCTCAGTGATAAAGATTCCACCTGCCAATACAGGAGATGCAAGAGACATGGGTTTGATCCCTGGGTTGGGAAAACCCCCTGGAGTAGGAAATGGCAACCCACTCCAAGTATTCTTGCCTGGGAAATCCCATGGACAGAGGAGACAGGCTACAGTCCATAGAGTCGCAAAGAGTCGGACACACATGTAAACTTGACACTGTGCACATAACCTAGCAATTAATTACACTTCTGGGCAAATATCTAGATAATCCATGTACACATGGACAAAAACCATTCATTTTAGCATTGTTTCTAATGATAAAAATTGGAAACAACCTAGATGTCCAGATGTCCATTAATAGAAGTATGGATAGATAAAATAAAGTATATTCATATATAGATTAAATAGAAGAAGAAAGGAATGATCTAGATCCATTTGCAACAAAATGTTATATGAGAAAAGCAAGTTGTGGTATATATACATTTTAAAACATACCAAAGTATACTCTGTTGTTTATGGGTGTATGTAGATGTATTTAAAATAGAGAAGATGTTCTGGAATAACATACACCAAATTTATGATGGACATTGCCTCTGAGGAGGGGGATAGATAATAGGATTGGGAGTGGGAATCCAAGACAAGCTGAATTTGCTTGTAAAGGCTTTCTTTCTTTTATATATAAGCAGTAGTATGCTGATAAATTAACAACTGGCTCTCCAGGAATAGAAAAAAAACATGATTTATAGTGTTTGTAGATTTCTGTGGTATAATATTCCCACCAAAGATTTAGCAATCAGCTCTCAAAATTCCCCAAAATTTAACAAACAGCTCTTGAGAATGTTATGAACTGGCTACGGTGCAACATTCTGTGTGTGTGTGTGAAAACTTGAACCACTGATGACAATATTAACAATCCTCAGTTTTGTATAATGAAAATATATGTATTTTTATTTTATCCTCCAAAGTTTTAAGTACATTTTAAATTTCTTAAAAAAGACAATCCTTTAAGAATCTCAATAGAAATACATGACAGTTTAAATTATAACTGGCAGTAGAATGAAGCAGGGCTTTGTCCTAGATGCCCTTCTCAACATCTTCCATTTAAATAACTTGATAATTGAATATACTGAATAAACACATAGTAAGTCAAGCATCTTCTTCTCTCTGGTGACATAGTTTTATGAACCAGAAGGAGCATTCAGATATAGCAAACTTTAGAATCAAATTTATAAAAGAAATTTGTAAGAACCCCTCTCCCCCCAGCAAACTGAATAGAACGGTATAAATAATTCCCAAGTATCTCTTACAGGGCCTGACACTTTGTTGACATGCTGTCAGAATATGTCTCATTCCATGGATGCACCATAAAAACAATTGATAGATTATTTGGACAATATATTTTTTAATGAACTTCAAAATCTTAGAGAAGTGATGATATATTATCCTACTATATATATATGGCATGAAGGCTTTCTGTTACCACAACTGAAAGAGGCTCAACTATTAGTGTAGAAGGAACAGAGCAGTTAAATGTAATAAATAACAGTGCCTTGGTTCCCCATTTCCCTGCTATTTAGTGAGTGCCTGGAATGAATCTAGTTCCTAGGGCTTTAAAGCAGTTGTGAGTTAATCAGGCGTGCACTCCACTGAAGCATACACAATGAAGAAGCTATTCTTTCCTTAGTAATTGAATCTTGTCTTTGATTTCTGGAGATCAAAATGGGAAACCAGGAATCCAGAAAAAAATGCCTTAGAATGCCTGCTTTCTCCCTCTTTTATCAACCATTTATAAAATAATCCATTTTAGAAATTATATTCAGGAATTAATTCTATAAGTTATATGATATCTACATTACCAAATAGATTTACCCTTATAAAATTAATATTTTACAAATTCTTATAATATTGCAAATCAAATTTATTAAAAATCACAGATTAATTTAGAAAATAATTTAGGAATAAATATGGATTTATAAAATATATTTTATCAATAATTTATTTGTAGATTTATAATACATATATGAATTTTCTATATTTTCTAAATAAATTTGTAATTTACAAATAACATTGGAATAAAATAAATATTAATAAAGGACATTTGTGCTTTATAATTATATATAAAGAGAATTATTACTTGCTATAACTGCATGTAATAAGTCCTGCAACATTAAATATTGTGTAAAATCAAACACTGTAAGTAAAATCCACTCATGGAGGCACCATACATAGGTTGTATGTTCTTGACCATTTTTAGCTTATGCCTGCTTTTTAGACAGGTGATCCTTCAATAGATCCAGATTCATTATAAGCAAAGATTTACTCACATTCCTGATCGACTGGGAGTTCAGTCCTTGCTTAGCACATGTCATTGAAGAAGTTGAATTTTCTCATCTTTAATGCAGCTTCCTAATCTTCAAGTCAGATAGGGCAGTGGGAATTGTTCCTAACACATTA